AAGTGAATGTTAACAGATGTATAAAAAATGACAAAAGTCACAACGGTATTCGGTTTGATCTACTAAACTGGTGAATTGATGCCAAACTTGCTACAACAGGTGTATTTTTGCCCAGTAAATCAGTCACATACTTACTTCCTTCATTGTACAAGTAAGCTACGCCCATTTTAATGATTGCTTCAATATTTCCATGCTCTGCCGCCCTGTCACAAAAACATAAATAACTAATGAGTCAATAAAAAAAGCAGCAACTTTAAAAAGATTATAATAGAAGTACTCATTTAACACTTAAGTGCTCTGTGGTGTGACAAATAAGGTGGCAGGTCATCAATTGTAGGGTTGGAAAAGGTCAGACAAGGTCACAACAAGTAACTACATGTAAATATATATATCTGGATGACCAACAGTCCATTAATGTGAACACGATAGATTACTTATCTTTATTCTATTTTACATACAGGAATCGTATCAAACAAATATAATCCAATGAAAAGTCTTTCCATACATTTATTTTAAATGCAACAGGTCAAGAATCAATCACAATAAATAAAACACAAAAAACCATAATATTACAATCAACAAAAATAAAGTATATTACGGTATTACGATTTTCTTCCTGCCCTTTTTTTCAATATCATCAAAAACTCTACAGCAAATCCAGACAAGTTTTCAATATGTTCATTCTCAATATTGTATTGCTTTGCAGTAAATATTTAAAAGAGTTTTTCCTGAGGTCATCACAGTTAATGGACCACATCAAGTAGAAAAAGTTGTAACAACAATAACAGAATGAAACCTGATAGTATGATCCCAATAGGTCCTTGGTCATTTTGTTTAATAATAGTTTTTATCATAGAACAAAGCAAACTGTGATATCTGATATCTAAACTGGGATAGCAGAGGATAAAGGGAGTATACAAATCAACAATGCCCAAAGTTAATTCCCCGTCACTAACCTTTCAAAGTGTTGGTGGTTTCCTGGTGATGGCCATTCTCCTCGAAAATTAACTGTTGACCATATGGACGGATTCGTGTCTATGATATTTCTGAATTTGGAATGGACCTGAAAAACAAATGTTATAATGCGTGTTTTTTTTAAATTAAAAATTCACATATGAACCAATGAAAATGCTACTGTTATGATATTATTCAAAAATAACACTCGTGGGAAATTGCATGTTCATAAACATATGACACAAACATGTAGACACTTGAAGCGTACAAGATCCATTTTGTAATTCAGAAGAAAGATTATACTTGTTAATTTACAGTACAGATGTCCTGAATATACAGCATCTAGTTGTTAGAATGTACGGTCAATTGTTGGTATATTATAATATATATATTATTATTGCTGTTTTGTTAGTAAGAGAAATGTCATCACATTCACACATTAGTTTTCAATCACACAAGAAATGTACTGTTAATCCCAACGCATGTTTATATCATTTCAGATGCACTGGCTAACTGGTCATGTGATTATGATTGGGGACATAATGCCCAAGATTGAGCAACAAGATGGCAAGTCGTGAAAATTACTGCATTTCATAATACAATTTTAAATTAATATTTTACTGTAATACTTACTGCACGCATTGATAACAAGTCTTTTGCTGGAAGCCCCTTTACAAGCAAAACTAAAACTTCCTCTGGTAGACACCATACATTACAATTGCTTTTAACCACTCTACGACGAGTGCGATTTCTTCTCATCTCTGGAAAAATACAATATCAAAATTAAAATATTACTAAAAAAATATAAATATCACATATACTAATAACAGATTGAGACGAAATTACATAATTAGTTGTGACACGGGAAACAGCGAATGACTCTGATGCTATGGGCGGCAGTTATTCGCCAGCGTAACTGACACACCAACTGAAAATAGACTCAAAACATCGTGTGGAGGGAAATACTTAGTAAGCCGAAAGATAATAATATCGGTCTTTCTAGATAAAAGCTGTTCGATGTCCGCTGATAGTTGTGACAGTTGCGGAAACAGACCGGCAACAAACCTGCGTCTTTGGAAATTTCAAATGACCCGCCAGTAGTGAAACCTGCTAATGATATGCAGGAACCGTTCGACAAGAAACTGCCAAGATCACATTACAACATTGGTAAAATTCTGCCACATAATTATAGATATTACACTAGAGATCAGTATTGTCATTATTTTTATTTTTCATATATACTGGGAACTGGCATGAAATTTCAGAACCTACTCCCGCCAGCGCCAAGAAACGCTCGAACACCGGCGCTCAGTCGAAGCTTACTCAAGGTCAACGGAAGCGGACAAACTGCCACTACAAGAAATTTTCAACTTTTTTTACCTATATTGTGAACTTGACAATAAAACAAAATCTGCAGTAAATAAATAGCTTTAAAATTAAAGCAAATGAATCACAAATCATTAGATGAATTCAGATTGAAAATAAATCGAGAAGGAACTGCCAAACCAGCTGACCGTTGAACCCAAACATACTCTGTGGCCATTTAATTGTCCGACGCGGTACATTTCTCAAGATATCTCTGCTTTTAGTTGGATTAGAAATTGTAAAATTACCTGGTATTTATAACATATTTGTACTCACCTCTCATTATAATCCCTGAGAAATTCTGAAGTTGAAAGGAAGGACAGAGTCGGATGAATATATAGAAGACGCCAACACAACGATCCGTTGAGTTAGTACGCTGTACACTGAACTGAATGAAATACATGTGTTGTCCGTTACTAAAGAACGTCTTCACTGATTGGTCGAGAATGCGTTCTTGCATAATTAGGTAAACAACGAACATAAACAAAAGATCATCGATTGGCACTCCACACATTCATTCATTCACCGATGCACAACGGCAAACCGGTAACAAACGGTCGCAACAAAAATTCGTTAACACCAGTTACACTTCAGCGTAGTGCGAATCGGTTATTTTTTCAGGAAAAAAATATAATTCGGAAAATAGTTTTGAATCTTCCAATCGCAAAATAACTAATAAATTAAATTTTTAAAAACGGTCACAAACAAAATTGGTTAGCTCGATTCGAGTTACACTTCAACGAAACGCGAATCGGTTATTTTCCCGAGAAAAAAATATAATTCCGAAAATAGTTTTAAATCGTTAATCGCAAATGACTATTAAATTAAATATTCAAAACCGGTCACAACAAAATTATCGCCTCACTCACTCAGAAATTACTCAGAAACACTTGAGTTTAGCCGGGAGGTTCAATGAGCTATCTTTATATTTTGCATTTCATAAAACGTTTCCATGTTGCAGTACCAAGTCGTTGTAATGTTAACTTGGTTACAAGTGCACGTACTAATATATAGATAAAGATCGCCTTAACAACTATATAATAGACCCCTTTTAGTAGACTATACAGGATAATTACTGTCGTACAACTCCTCCGACTGATGCTTGTTGGGACAGGTACCTCGAGACAGAGAAAAGGGCGAGATTGTAATAAGCGGGGTCGATTCTTTTCACCTGCAAGAGTCAATGTACCTTGAAATGAAAAGGGATCGGGCATGTAACGTCTCATTCATCGATATATTGTGCAAAGGGTGTTATTATATTCTCAGTCATGCCCAATGTTATGAGTATTCGGACCGTAAAACGTCTATATTTTATAAGTCGACCTAAGATTTACCAAGGTGTCTCTGAGATGCAACTTCCTGAATGAGTCAAATCTCGGTTTTGTTTATTTGGCTTTCGTTTAGACGTCCTCACTTTGTTGTTTTGTGTGTGTTGCGTACATGTTATGACAAATGAAATGTACAAGCATTTCTCAATGAGTGCATTGTGTCGTAAGTTGACCGGAATCGATCACAGCGATCAGTGGTTCATGCATGTCTCCGTGGTATCGCTGTCCAACCGTCTACTCGAGTCACATAACCAGTAATATTACTATCTTATATATCATGGGAAACATCAAATACGACATTTCCATATACCCCTCTGTGCAAATCACACATGCACGTATTAAAAGTACGACATTTCCATATACCCCTCTGTGCAAATCACGACAAAATAAAAGCACGACAAAGTATTATTTATATATTCAAAATAGAATCATATTTTCTAATAAAACACTTGTTTTATTTTCTTATTATTTTCTGATAAAATATCGTTGGCATGGATATGCCAATCAACCTTTTCTATATGGAATATTGAATTTTCCCGATTAGCGGACACACTCATGACATAAACCTGTTCGATGAATTCCTGTACATGTACACAATATTTCAGTACTAGTAGTGGTGAAAACCTCATAGGGATAAGACACTACGTCGTAACGAGGGGAACCAAATGTACACTTATGAGTTTACATTCAATCAATAAAGTTTGTAGCACGGTGATTGGTACAAGTGTGAAATGATAATTGTATATTTCAACGGATCTTTTGGAGGTCACAATAGATGTTGTTACATTTGTAATGACTTTTTTTTTCATTTGATAAAGTCTCCAAAGCGATGGGTTCGTCACGAACAAATCACGCATTTTAAGGGAAGCCGTCACACGCGACCGTTTGACGCCGTTAATCGAGTACAATGTCATCTTGTTTTCACTTTTATTCAAGTGACACATTCTGCCCGCATCAGCCAGTGAGAGCATAATTACAAGATAAAACTTTGGTGTATTGCGCATGTCATGGATTAATTTTACATAACTTACTGCATACCAATACATGGCATGTTTGGTTTCTTTGGATTACATAATTCTGTGTTCGTGTAATAGTACGGACACACTGATCTAAACCACGATATTATGTTCAACCCCTTTTTTCTACAATCCTATGTTTCAATATCAAAAAAACGTAAACAATGTTTTGATTTTACAAAAGTTTTTTTTTCTCACACAAATACTAGTACTCGTAAATTCAAAGAGAAATATAACTCAGGATAATTGATTTAATTCAAAATAAAACGAACGAACGAACTGACTAATTATACTCATTATAGTGATAACAAACCAATTATACCGCGGTATTCCAGGTGACAGTTATGGAACAAGCACCTGTTGAATGGATTAGTTATGTTATTGCTACAGAAAATGTCACACTGCCGAAACGGCCACGCGACCAGGTTCACACATTTCATTCACGTTGCAACAATAGTGGCTCTTGCTGTTGCCGATATCTTGACAATGGTAATGTTGACATTGAACTTTGCCGTGGTGAGAAGATGCTCAATGTCACATAGTCTCAAACTTTACGGTCACGGTGAAATTATTTAAACATGATCCGAATTGCGACTGAAACTATATAATCTGTCTATGATGCAGTACATGCCAACCACAGTGGTCGAGTGTACTTGTTGTGTTGATCAGTTGGTTACTTTTCTTTATTTTAGTAGATTGTCGTCTGGTCTCAAATTGCTCAAAATTAATATTTCCTTCTGTCGTTACGCATTATCAATAAATGTTAACCGCACAAAGGCTATTTGGGGAGGGGTGAAATCGTGATCAATATTTTGAAATTATTACACAAAATCAAGACCAACAATACCAGAGAAAGGACAGTTCTTCACTATATAATAGTATATTGTATTGTGAACTCCTGATTATACGCATGTCAAACAGGTTATTAAAGATGCATATGTAGAGAAGTGTTTGAAATTGTTACACTGCTTGACTTGTGTTGGCAACATATACACATCTTCCGGGCCTATGTACCATCGGAGACTGGCGCCTCTACTATGTACCATCGGAGACTGGCGCCTCTACTATGTACCATCGGAGACTGGCGCCTCTACTATGTACCATCGGAGACTGGCGCCTCTACTATGTACCATCGGAGACTGGCGCCTCTACTATGTACCATCGGAGACTGGCGCCTCTACTATGTACCATCGGAGACTGGCGCCTCTACTATGTACCATCGGAGACTGGCGCCTCTACTATGTACCATCGGAGACTGGCGCCTCTACTATGTACCATCGGAGACTGGCGCCTCTACTATGTACCATCGGAGACTGGCGCCTCTACTATGTACCATCGGAGACTGGCGCCTCTACTATGTACCATCGGAGACTGGCGCCTCTACTATGTACCATCGGAGACTGGCGCCTCTACTATGTACCATCGGAGACTGGCGCCTCTACTATGTACCATCGGAGACTGGCGCCTCTACTATGTACCATCGGAGACTGGCGCCTCTACAGTTAAATTATGAAATAATCAATCATAAACATTACTAGTATATCATGCAACGTCGGGCAGATGTCATTCCGTCGTTTCTAAATACTTCAGTGTTACTTGACTCCCATGGATGCCGGAATTAGTAAAATACCCCTATTTTCTTGTCAAACGTCGAAACATGACGATCTGGTTAATAAGATAGATAGATAGATAGATAGATAGATAGATATTTTATTTGACACAAAATTTAGCATGAATGAAAAAAACATACAATAAATCAATGGTCAAGAAAAACACAAATAAAACAATAG